GATTCTGTATGCAATTGAGAAGCAAAATGTCATAACTCTTCTTACCTTTTTTGGATAGTACTTGTTCCAAGCCTTCGAGCACAAACTGGAAGGAAGATGGTTGACCTTCCAGTGAATCTTATCGGCTTGGAACTTCTGGCTCACAAGATTCTCCGTTTCAAATGAAGGACGTAGGAAAAAAAACTGAGATCAGTTCTTCTCTTTTTGAGAAATTTTTCTCTTTAACTACCATAGTTGAGCTGAAAAAGGAGAGAGACGATATAATGCAGATAATGTTCACAAACTCACAACAACCCTTAATGGTGCTCTTGATATAGACCGTGGTCCCACTGTAACTAAAGGAGTAACGAAGAGTGCAGTCCATCAGCTTTAGTACACTTCCAGATTGCCCAAAAAGGTTTTGTATATTACATACATCCATAGTCTAAACGGTGTCTTCTTCGATGCTATTCAATACATTTCAAGCTGCTTGTATTCGATGCCATTCATATCATTGAAGCGTTTGAATTCTGGTATCCACTGCTCGAGAATCTCTCATGAAGAAAGTTAGTAAATGTTGCCCTCAAGGCTCCTTTGAGTACGAGTCATTGGTCTCAACCAAACAAGAAGAAGTGGTTTGGTTCTCGAGCATTAAGTCCTTGATTTGGTTCCCGTTTTCGTGGTACATCGACATTGGGAACCGAACACATCATCACTATTCATATAGCGCTATCCAACTGCTTCCTTTACCGCTTGTTTGCTGGCTGACCTTCCTATATCGAACAGTGTAGGGTTCATGTAGGATGTCTTGCAAATCCTCTCATAAGTGAAGGTTATGATAAACGAGAGACGAATTTACTGGAAGGATTTGTTGCATCAGAAGTACCCATATCCTTCGCTAGTTCAAAATGTTATTCGTCATTCGGAAGCCTGAACAGGCGAAAACCTTATTTCCCTTGTGATTAGAGAGAACGACATCGACTTGCTCTTTTTCATACAGAAGAGAAGCCCTAATAGTCGAAAATGCCATTCAGTACTGACATGAGGACGTTTGACTGAAATTTCAGCCTTTCTTTGCCTCGCTGAATAAATTTTATGCATTTTCTGGCAGAGGAATTGATTTTGAAAATGGGAATTTTCTCGAATGCCGGTTCATTTGAAGTTGCTAGAAAGCTAGAGGTAGTGAAGTAACTGTCATACGGGAAGTTTTTGGGTGCTCCTTACCCATAAGCAATTAGGTCGAGTTCCGATGGCAGCAAGTGGATTCACGGAACTAACTTTTGGCGTCGTCGTTATGCAATATAATGGACTCAGCCGGTGATGATAAAAACGTCCATTTTCGTGTAGGCACAAATGCATTTTGAGACATACTGGCTGCCCTCTGACGGCTTCTCTTGCCTCTTCACAGCGATTCGCAGCAATTCCTTTCTTCTCTACGACCATCCTATATTCTGTGGAGAGCTTCCGGCAATTCAATCATGTTTAGCAGTTGCACATACTGGCAGAAATTCTATTTTGTGCTAGACTGCACAGGTATGTTTTTCATTGGTTTAAACGGCGTTAGTGCGACTGGTGATCCCCAAAAAGGACCTCCTCTTAAACGAGCAGTCATAATTTCTCAAATATGGATCTAATGCCCATCAGTCGTTTTAGTCTGTTAAAAGCTGAATCCAGCCCCTTTGCTGGCAAGGACTCGAGCTTGGTCTTTTCGAAAGCAACGTGTTCTATTAATAAATAGCCTCATATAACTTGTAACAACTATCCTTGCTCCTTCACATACAGAGGATAGGAATGTTCTGAAGGTCCCTGGCTATTCGTGGACTTTTCTCCACACGTTCATGGCAACCAAGTTTTCCACTTTTTCTAGTCCGAGCTGGGGTTGGTAAACTTCTCCAAGTTTACTAGAACGTTATCTTAAATATAGCGAGACTGTTTTATACTCATTCAGTAGTGCAAGCTGATTGAACCGACATTACTGTCCTTGTTGGATCCTTTCATTGACTCCTAATGAAGATGGAAAGCAAGCGGAACGGAAATGAGTGATTACCGCAAACCATAATGATACCACAAATTTTTTGATAACTGTGCTGCCTTCTCTGAAACTTATTGGACTCGAGGAGGGCTCGTTTACTACTGTTAAAAGCAGCTCCCATCCACAGATCTTTTATTCTCACCACTCCATAACAATGGTGATTCCCATACCACTATAGTCATCAGAACTGCGCACAAGGCTATCCAACATCTCGCCGTTTACTTTGCTTTGCTTACAAGTATTATTCTTGGCATATTTTTCTGGATCAGAGACTGTTAAAAGAAATCTCCTACCATACAATAAAATTCGGCCCTGCCGTATGGTGTAATCGTCGATTTACTTCTTCTGAGGCCTGGTATCAGAAAACGTAGACCTCCCGGGACTGAACTAACTTGGGAATTCTCGAACGGGAACCGAAACACCACGTATCTTCAATTGCTAACACGGCCTGCTTTTTTGTGAGAGTATGCAAGATTATAAAAAGCCTTGAAAATTACTGCAAGAAAGTATTTCCAAATGTCACGGTTGAATAAGTGTGAAAGAATCAATTATTCAGCTTTGTCATAAAGTAAAAGGCCACAGCACAACTTTTTTCTACATACTTTATGCATTATTTTTCATTGACAATACTAATTTTTATGAGGTTCAGTTTAACTCCTCGATCACGCTCAAGTAGTCCTTCAGGAGTATGCTTAGACAGAGAGTAGAGTATGTACGTGCGAATATGTTTGCGTCATTGAAATTCGATCTGATGTCCAATTTGTCCCGTGGTTTTTGCACGCCCACCAAGATATGAGCACCTCTTTCACTTCACTACCTCACCATCGCTAAGAACCGCACACCCAGAGTTCACGGAGTACTGCCAAATCGGAAGGAATGCTTCTCCTGGGATCAAAGCATTCTGAAGGTTCTCCTTTGCTTGTTTAAATTGAGCTTCGCTGCAATCACTATTTAAAATACTCACTGAGGAAAGCAAAATAGGTTGGATTCTTAGGCATCATTGAAAGGACACTTCGTCACATCCTGGGTGTGACAGAGAATCCGTCTGAGCTCATTTTTCGAAGGTAGTTTCGAGTTTGCATAATTTTGAAGCCTTAGTAGTAATCCTCTCCTTGCTACGGGCCACACAATCTACATCCTACGGAATTTGAAGAAGCCAAATGTTCAAGAAATGAAGAGCCTCTGGTCTCAGTGACAATCCAAGTGTCTTTCGATTGCTTTATCAGATTAGTAGTCCCCATAAGGGCAGAGAATACAATCTGTGATCTCTGAGGGCAAGTTGAGTGAAACCTGAGGCATCTCCAAGACAAATGCATAAAGGATGAGGTCTTTGAAGTTAATCAATCCCGTCTGAGGGATGGCCTTCGCATTCGACTTCCATTCAGAATCGTAATGAATAAATGAGTGCGTATGTGGCCATACAGTCACCTGTGTTGGCCAGCCTGTGGCACAAGTCGTGCTTTCATTCTACTAGTCTAGTAGGAAATGGAAGGCTTGGTTGGACCAGGTGGATATCTAGCCGGGCAGTGAACCCATGACCATGCGTGTGTTATAGTGCGCCACCACACCACCGTCTACTCCTCAAAATTCCACAGCCTTGCGCACAATTCACCCTTCAGATAAGTACTCCTCTCCAGCTCTCTGTACGTCGTCAATGTGTCGTTCCGTATGCTTGCGAAACTGATACAATAGACTAAAGTGAGTAGTAGAAGTGTTTTGAGACTTTTCTGCCACAATCAAGCGCCTTATGATTTTTTCGTTGCAGCTCTTACTTTTATTTATTGGCATGAGTTTCTCCATAGAAGGAAATAGATATAGAATGATGTCTGTATTATCTGAATCACCAGAGCAGGTTGCGGAAGTGGTCTGTCATGGATGAATGCACATTCGATTGCCGGAACGCTTTTTTTATCAGTTATAGTGCATTAAGGGAAGGGAAAGCAATGGTTCTCAGCTGAAACACGTGGTCTGCCATGACATGATTGACCTATTACTCAAGATTCCTCAGATGACTTCCTCCCGTCTTACTCCTATGGGAGTTCAGCTTGAATCGTCGTTCATAGGGCGTAACAGTTTCCATTAAATCAGACTTCCCCTCTTTCCATTCCAATTCGAGTGTTAACAATGAGCTGCATAAATGTTGCCAATGCCTGGTAGCCCTTCATGTGGAACTTCGGGCTATTTACCCTCAGTTAGGAGTTTTGTCTCCCCTAAAACTGTTCGATTCTATATGGTTCTTTTCAATTCAGTGTCTCCTCTTCTATAAAGAAAGCCACCAATCTGAATACATGCTACAAAGAAAAAATATATTTTTTCGCCTTTCCGGAGCTAACTTAGTTTCGTTTTGCAAGCTTATAAGGGCACTCGACCGCTGCAGGTCTATGCTTTGAAGGCTAAAAAGCCATGAACAAGCATAGCTGATAGGGCAAAACTTGCTAGGACAGTTGCAAACGATGGTTATGTCAGTCTTTTCAAACTCAAAAGTGTGAAGGTCTTGACATTGATCACTGCTGGCTTTACTCGAGGCTTGAATAAGCGTGAGGCTTGAATAAGCGTGAATGCTTTTGGACAAAATAATTGCTAAAAAAGTGGCTAACAATAATTGTATGAATCTATTCTATTGAAGTCTACGAGCCCTCCCAAACTATTGAAGCAGTAGGTGGGAATTGTGTTAGAATAAAAGATTTTTAAAATTGAATAGCCTCGAACCAAGAACTTGTCGGATAAGAGCACCTTCCAAACTTCTTCCTTTGTGGTATACCTTAGAGAGAGATTTGACATACAAAGTCGATATTCTACAGCATCCACCAACCCAGTTCGTGTAACGAATAAGCATCTCCAGCACTTCAGCACCTAGAACTAGAGAACCGTATAGACAAAGTTCTTCTTTCAACAAATAATACCCCATATTCTATCACAGTACTGCTTCTTACTCTACTATTTCCTTGGCTCTAAAAGGCTCACCAACCTATGAAGACTTGTTTTAGATATGCCCTTCGACTCGGATACGCCCTCGTCGAAAGGCATTCCGAATGGCGCCCTGACAGTACTCATCATCGCCGCCGTTGCCATTGTGTCCGTCGTCATCACGCTATTCTGTATGCTCGTTAACAACAGAAGAACCCGACGGACACAGCATCGTGTGCAGGTAATTTTTTGGAGGTCTTTTATGAAGATGATGGACTAGATTGAGCAGCTACAGCTCAGAAGAGCAGAGCGGTGCTGAACGAGCACCTTACTCCTTTAACTAATAGCAATCTCTTGAAAATGATCTAATCAACGCTGTAACATTTTTTTATTTGAAGTGCTTTTTTTATTGCGCTGCGAATTTGAGTATTACCGCAAAGATACCTGGTCATGGATGGGCCGCTCGACTTTGGGTAAAGTCGAAACCGACATCTACAGTTCCGCTGCTTTCACTCGTGAACGACCAATATCACTGTTTTAAACTTCGCTCTCTCTATCAAGCCCAGCTACTTGTGTTGCAACTGTAGACGTGCTGATAACTAGTGATGAGAACACATCAACAAGAGGCACAACATCCTAGTGACAAGAAAATAGAAGATAAGGGCCAACTTTGGTTACCGCATGACAGGAGAAAGTAATAAGCAAAGAGCTTGGCTTCACTAAGAAGCCTGAGTTCCCCCTCACTTTGGAAGTCTTCCATACTTCCATGCCCAGGTTCAATGGAAACAAGGAGATCTTGACCCCCAAGGATGGTAATCAGGGTTTCGAGTATACCTTTGATGGGAAGTTTGCTTTTAGTTATTTCTTGATGGTAATCAGGGCTTCGGGTGTTCCGTTGGTGGATGTTTAGGTGTTAGTTATTTCTTGTTATGGGCCATTTCAAAATGATTGATTAACATCATACAAAAGTGTTTTATCCATATCTATGAAATGGTAGCCATACACCAGCTTTAGAGACTTATTTTCGATAATGGGTTTGATCATCAGTTCACATTCCTGATTCTCCTTTCAACTCCCTCTCTATCTTTTGTCCAGAACCGTTACGAGCCACTACTTGATGTTTGCAACTTTTATTTGGTACCAGTTAAAGAGCTAGCATGTTTCCTTGGTTAAGCAGAAAATTACTAATAAGTTCTTCAAACATGGCACTCATTTTCGACGAAGAAAAGAGGCTTTCACCCTTGAACATCCTAATTTTGCATAACCTTCTGCAAAACCTTGGGAGAATCGTGATCATTGCTACCAAGCTTTGTAAAACTTCCTTATTTCTCCAATAGCGATTACCGTCCGTTACCACTATCATTATACCGCCCATTCATTGGATAATTCTCCCAAAAACCTGACCTCCTTATCATGTTCACTCGATTGGACTCTGAAAAGCACATAGTCCTCCCAACTTCAATAGTAATTCACTCGTTCTCTGGAAAAACCCAACCCGCCGATCTGCGATGTATGGTCTGTGATCCCCATGAGTGGTCTAGCAACCTGAGCCAGTAGTCGACATCATTGCCCAAAAAACGAGGACCGCAACTCAATAGGGTTTAGGAGTAACGAGCGATTGAGAGAATAGCTTTTCTTTTACATGTTCGGTTGAAGATCAGCTCTTAGGTTGACTGGGACATGACCAGCTATCAACCAAACCTTCCATCCCTGCGAGGTTCATTCTGTATTGAGAAACTTATCAAAAAGGATAGAAGCGCTAAATTATAATGTGATCAGTGATCCAAACTGTCTCAAGATTAATTTATTTGACTGGAAAAACGGAATGCTATCATAGATAGAAATGAATGCAGACAAATCTAGAGAAGTGTTAGTGATTACTGGTGGAGCGCTCTATAAACGTTGAATGGGAAGACAGAAACATCATTCTCAAAAATCCCCCTCGGACTTTGCTTGTAACTTCCACAAATTGTTGTGGGGCGTGGGGGCGTATTGAAGGCGAATGTGGTCGTTGTAGTTATTATACTTGCGGTGGTGAGCTTGTCTACTAGATGTCTACTCTACTAGTCTACTGCTTTTAAATACNTACCACCGACATCGTAGGATGGGAAGCTAGCTTGGCCTGAACGAGTGTCCATCCGAGATGTGGACCCCAGCCACCACTGTGAGGTAATGCGCCGCACGTCGCTGCACCCCCCTGCTTCTACTCCCATATTATTGTAACTGTACACCATTTTTGGCCAACATATGACATAGACGAAATTTTTAACATAAAGATTGCAGATTGACCGTTACACCAGTAGATTTTTTAGTTTTTTCAGCGAATGACGCTTACTGGAGGTCGGAATTCCTTGTCATCGATGACGGATCTACCAGTAATTCCTGCGTTTCCTCGAGTAACCGATCTTCCTATGTACATCACGCCATCACACTATGATCCAAAATTCGATGCACCACCGTCATACGAAGAAGCTGTGCGATCTGCACCGACTAGTCCTGTATCCAATACAGTAAGTCCTTTCTCGCTAGCTTTCTCTAAGCATTCAGAGCAATAGTACTTGTCAATAATAGTCAAGTATTTCTTTTTGTTCCAGTTATGTGCCTTTGCTAAGCCTAGAGTGAAGCGGGTGGATTCCAGTTACCTTCTTTTTGCTCATTTCTGCCTTCTTTCGTGATTCCCTCAAAATTCTTTCAAATACTATCAAGATACATTCAGGGCAAACAAGACAGATTTTTGCAATACCGGGTAGTTTTGTGGGTTTTTCCTGGTGAATTTCTCTCTCTATTCTGAAGATTTCAATAAGTAATCTTTCTTCTCTCGGCACATTATTCCAGCAATAATCCGCTTGTAGTCTGTGGCTGGCGCTGTTACACGTTGCCATGATGATTTTTTCGCCAAGCGTACGGAGTTCTCTGCAAATATTTGCGAAGGTTTACGTACTGAATACGACGCCACTCAGATCACATAGTTCAAAGAGCAAGAAATATGATGAAAGGGGAAAGTAGAAGTTCAGAAACCACTGAAATGAGTAAAATGAGAGGGCGACTGAAACACTGTTGTTGCGGAATAAGGTAAATTGTAAGTGAATAATAATTTTCTTGAAAATATACCATCTCAGGGATCGATCGAGGACGCCAATTTTCCGTACACACAGAAAAGTCGTAGCATTGTTTCACTGATTGCCTTTCATGGAGCTTGCTTAACTATTATTCTTCTTCAGCCTGATTTCCCCATACGTTCTTTCTTTCTTTCCTCAGTTTCTTATCCGGATTTCTTTTTTTACATCTTTTTCTGATCCTGTCTTCTTTTCCCAATATTTGGAATAATGCTATTGTCAGTGAACTCCTACTTATAAGTCATGTGGCACAATCATCGGCCTACTCGATTGGATAAGTACCTTCATCAATACATAAATAAACAGTTGACCAAATAAAACCCTCAAAATCTTTGCAAAGGTCCATGTTAAGCAAATGTCTTAGCAAAGGCACACCCTTCCACGGTGCTTTCATATAATCCGGTCCCTTTTATAATAGTTCTGTTTCTTAGCCGTATCATCCAATATATACATATCGCATGATTTCATTCACTTCTAGGACGTCACAGCGTTTCCGGCCCAGGAGCGGCCACCTCCAACCGGCAATACTCCTGCAAGGTAAAGTTTTTGTGGGCTTCACCAGAAGACCTCGGCTGTTACCTTTCCCCTCGATGAAATTGAACAGAATGTCCCGCTGGCCGACAATAATCTGAAGTTTTCGACTTGTAGACACCCTTCCCACATGCATATTTTTGGGTAACAGTCCTTTTCATAGCAACTTGTTTTTGTATGATGAAAAACTGGGAAAATGTCGGACCAACTGTACGGGTGAGGTGCATGGGAAAGGTATTGTAACCAAATGGGATATGTAGTGTGTCATACCATAGAGTGTTTTTCAGAGAGCTAAAAAGCCGGCTGAAATTGGATTCACGATTTCATCCACGTGAGCAAGCGTATCCTAGCTACTGAACTCTTGCATGAACGGAAATTTTAGTTTTATCGGGAACAGTGATGTTAGATTTATCAGTCTGGTTACGAAGCCGGGAATACTTCCATCTAAATAGTTCCTCCAAAGGGAAGCGAAAGGGTGAA